TCCCATCCCAACAGGAAAGGATGAGGCCTTAGACAACAAGTAGGGATAAATCTTCAGAGGAAGTCTCAGAAGACGAAGAAGGTAATGCCTATGGGAGCGTTAAAGTAGCGAAAATAAATATTGCTTCCACAAAGGAAGATCGAAAAAAGAGAAATGGCCAAGAACAAAGATCGCAGACAAACTTTTGTGATCATTCAGCTTAGGAAGTATTAACAACACTCGTAATACTATTGATAATAATTAAAGTATGCTTAAAGAATTCTTTCAGTAGCAGCTGAGGGTTAAGATGCACTGGAAGGAGAGAATGGATAAGCATACTCATAAAAGGAACTATTTGTGCAGGTATGGCAGTCACCAATGGAGAAGCTTGAAGGAGAAAGGATGATGATTGAGCAGGCTTGGAAGGAGGAGTAAAGGATAATGACAGAAGAGATCCAGGAAGAAGGGATGCCATGACGCTCTTCAACAAACTCGAGGGTGAAAATCATCCTTGAGACGGTCCATTGTATTTTATGTATGTTGAATACAAGACACAGTAAGGTTCTCTTATTACAAATGACAATAACAATAACAAAAACAACAACAATAATAATAATAATAATAATAAGCAGGCACAACGTACAAGGTATTGCATTAGCCGACTTATAGGAGAGAAATTACGTATAGAGTACAAAACTTTGAAAAATTAAGAGAGAAAAAAAGAGGTCTGGGTCCATTTGCAGCTCCATTATTTTTCTTTTTTTCTTTTTGCTCGGAGAAATCCAAATCATGTCCCAAACCGAACTAATTACAGTTTGGTGTTCCCTTTTAGCAAACTGATCGCATTTCACTTTTACCAAACTGATTGAATCTACACCCAAAATGATCTGAGACAAATTATAGATTTTTTTTGTGAAAATGAAATGTGGATATCACTCAGAGCCTCAAACTTTTTTTTTTTTTTCTGATGACAAGGGAAACCCGCACCCGTTACCCTTTAGGTGCGATCCCAGAGCTTCAATTTGGGCAGCTTCAAAGTAGCTATGATGATTCCTCCCATGTACAAAGCTAGTGACTTTCCCCATGTATATAACAATTCTTCAATTGTGTTTTGCATCACCATTTGAAAAGCTTAAATGCTTAACATTGACTAGGGATAGATGTAACAACCCAATCCTTCATTTTAGGTTTTAGCGCCCCACGTGATTTTTGGGACCTGAGGGGCTTGGGGGTGCCTTGGTGCATTTGGGAAGTGTAATGATGCAGACTTTTTGTTATGCAGCTGTCAGATATGATTGCGGTAAAAGGATGGAAGCTGGTACTTCCCTATCGCAATTAAGAAGGGGACCATCTGGGTTTCCTCTGCACAATCACGGAGGTGAACGCGATTCCGTAGCTTCACCACTTGGTTAACTAGTGCAATTGAAGGGATTTCAATCATTATTTCACCATGCTCTTCTCCTTATGATTCATTGAAGCTTGAGTGTGACTTTGACTTGATTTTCTTGTTTGATTCATCTTTTCTTCATCTTTTTATTTACGCTTTTTCATTCTTTTGTTTCTTTTTGTTCATTCACACCGCTCTCAACATCTTTACTCATTTTTCTTTATTTTCTCTACACACGACTCTTTTCACACACTTTCTTTCTTGTTTTCCTTCATAATAGCCACCCTCAACTTAGATGATTAGCATGAGTTGAGTTGCATAATGTACTAGGAAGGACCAGGGCCAAAATCAAGGTATAACTTTGTGGTAGCCACCCTCAACTTAGGATTTTAGCTTGAGTTGAGGTACACAATGTCCAAGGAGGGACCAGGGCAAAAACAGAGTTACAAAATATTTTTAGGGAAAATGAATTGGGTGTATTGGAAGAATGGTATTCTTTAGGCTCAAACATTTGAATCGAAGGGAGCAATTTATTCTTTTAGTTGGTTGTTTTTAGGCTTAAGTCCCAATTTCCAGTTTAATCATCTTAGCAAGACCAACGGGGCAAGTTCTAGATTGACACGTACTCTATGAATATACAAACAATCTCACACACACACATGACACCTTGTTTGACTATCGAATCATCAATGTATCTGGTTCATGTTATAGCTTAAGCCATATTTTCTAATCGATTTCTATCATGTCATACAAAGATCCTACACATTCAACTTATCAAGCACACAAGTACAACACATATAAAAAATTTGAGGGGTATCACTTTTCATGCTCTTTTGCCAATATGCTTTCATTCTAGTCTACTTCTACACTTATACTATCCTAGACATGCCGGTTTAATAGAAATTAAACAGTTCCTTGAGGAAAAATAACAGAGGCAAGAAAACCCCAAGGAAGGATTGTGAGTTGGGTTATTCAGACTTCACCCTAACACAATCCACTCACCCCACTCCCACAAAAATTATAGTGCAATGCCCCCAATGCACAAAAGAAATAAAACATAGGGTGAGGCGAACTTGTGGCGCATAAGCGCCGAAGACCAATCAAGAAGCGGGTGGGTCCGGTAGCCCTGAACCCTCTAGGTCAACATGAGTGACGCCCTCAATGACGCCCTCAACTATAACGGGGGGAACACCATCAGTAGTGCCCCTCGAAGTTGATGCACCAGCAGCCAACTCCCTGTCTCTAAGTTGTCACATCTCCTCATCAAGTAGCGACTATCTATTCACCGCCTTAAAAACTGCTACTTCTCCTCCTTCTAAGCTCTCCGCTCCTCCTCCGTATCCATAGTACAATCCAAAGCCCGTGTGTGTTTTCCAGCCGCACGAGAAGGGTTTATAGTAGGCTCATCCTCACCAAATAGTGCATTAAGCACTACATCTCCAGCATCCTCCTTTGGGGCAGGCTCCGAGACATCAGCATCACTAGCGGCCAAAGCATCAACATCGGCCCGAAGTTAGGCCAACTCGGCTGGAACACAACTAGATCCACAATATGCCAGGTTGAGACTTTTCCAATATCCAGAGCTCAAAAGCATCAATCCTCCAGTGCACTGCCTGTATCTTCACCTCAACACCCTTCTCAGTCTGAACCTCTGATTCCTCTACGAACTTCCTCATCCATAGCCTAATATGCTGCAAGAGAGTCACCATTTGAGTCTCCAATTTCTAGACTCTGGCTAGTAGCAGCATGACAAACCCTGTAGAGTAGGAGCACGTGGTGTGCTCGCAGCCAGGCCGGATAAAGTGGAAGGTGGAGCAGTCACATCATGCTCCTTAGTAGGGGAAGGAATGGTTCCTTCATCTGTCTTGTCAGGAGCAAGTGTCTCGCCCATTGGCGGTAAATCAAATGGGATACCCCTCCGTGGAACTATAGGGGTTGCATCATCCCGTATCAAACCAACATCGACCGTCTTGGTACCTCTATCAACCTATGACAACCCCAAACAGGACCAATAGCCTCTCTACATAGGCGAAAGATTAGACAAGGGAATGGTAAAGTGGTCTTCTCTCAGAAAACCCTCTCATGAATCTCGGCTATCAGAATCTGGGAGAAATCTACCTCGTGCCCCACTATCAACGAAGCTAGCATCACAGCTCGATCCCAAGTCAATATATTAACAACTAATGTGGGGGACAATCTGGCCCGGATGATAGACCACCAAAACTTGGCTGCAAAGTTGAGAGTAGCCTTTTTTATAGGCTGGGTCATGTCACGGACCCACTCAGCATTTACCCCCTCCTCAGCAATGTGCCCAGCCATCCAGCGTAGCAAGGTCTCTCTCTGATCAGTAACTTGCATGGAAACTCTATTCTGCACCACCCCCATCTGACAGTCATACTCGGTTGTGTTAATCGGCTGAGCCCATGGTTGTCAAGCATTCTCTCTCATTGAGGACAGTTGTGGGTGGACATTGAGGACAGTGAGAGTAGAGTTCGGTTTGAGACAATGATGTGGACTTTTGAGAGTCCGGTGGATACACAGATTTGTGAGAACTATTACAAGTCAGATGTTGACGTCGTGATATAGGGGCCGTTGAGTCCATCGAATCATTGATATGATCAAATTGTGTGTGGGTGGATTTGGATCCATTGCTCCTGAGTCACCGTGACTTGGTACCTCCCATGTGGTGTGCATGTTGGTTCTGGTTTGCTGAGATTGTGGTTGTCCCATGTAGGCAGATGCATGCTAGTTAATGGAAGTGTTTTTGTGATTTGAGGTACCTGGTGGGGTGTCGTACTGAATAAAGTTTGGCCCTTCAACGTATTTCATGATTGATAACTGCTATGTGATTATTATTTTTGAGTTTTTAAGGCGTATCTTTTGTGCTTCATCTGTGAAATTGAACCTGTTGAGTTATTATACTGTTTGGAGTATATATATTTCTAGCTGCTTTCTTATTTTATTGCACAGGCTCATGGTAAAACGACTGTTTTTGTTCAATGCTTGTCTATTCACTACTCTCTTGGGGATAGTCAATGATACTTACGGAGTACTCCCCGTACTCACCCCTCTCTTTTCCCGCATATTTGAATTCTTGTACCACTGTTCCCCGGGCGTGATTCTTGTGGTGAATTATCAGATAGTTCATGGTAGCTTACGGTATCATTTTTGTTTTATTCACTTTCGTACAGATTTTGTACTTATTTCAGACAATGTTATATTATTTTTATTCTTAGATGCTCATGACTACTATCACCTGTTTCTGGAACATGTTTGGATTGCTTTCGCGTTGTTTTTATCCATCAGACTTAGATATTATATGATTTCATGATTTGGACTACGTTTCTAATCATTGGGAATAAGTTGAGTTGATTACCGAATCATTGGTTTGCCTAACTTAGGAGTGTTGGATACCAACACAGCTAGGTGTGAATCTTTGGCCGTGACAATAAAGATGTATGGCGGAATTAGATTGAGTTCTTTTGAAGTAGGGAAGTTCAAAACTAAAAATGAACTTTTTTCTAAAAACATAACTAATTAGTAAAAGAAAGAATAGAAGTTTTCCATTTCATACAAAACCCATAAGACAGCAAAAGATGGTTATCACTATAGCTGGTTTACCATGGAGCATTAATAAGCGATAACTACTCCAACTTTAGACTAGTTTTTAAATTACAAATGCATGGGCCCAGCGCTTCGCAAGGCATTAATGTATAAATATTATTCAAACACACACATCATTTTGCACAAGCCTTTTGCATTATGCATAAACATATATCACTAGAATTGCAAGAATGAAGATACACATGTTAATAGCCTTCTGAGAATTTATGAAAACCAGCAAAACCTCTATCCTGTCTTTGTCTTCGACGCTGCAATATACTGATACCCCAAGCCATGATGAAGCAAGGTAAAAGAAAACCAGCAGCACGGAGCAAAAAGAGCTGTGTCAAGGATCAACAAGATCATTAATGTCACACGCTATTTACTTCTATGGATGTGTCATATAGTCACCACAGAAAAGAGAGTTTCATTTTATCATCCACTTACAGAGAAAAAAGCGGAAACATCCTCGTCATCACCTTCGCCATTTTCAAAAGCATGCCTCAGTAAGAGGAGGGCCATTAACTGCAGGATAAAACACATCATTCAATAAGGTTACCAAGATCATGACACAAGCTTCAAATAGGGTAAAGGTAGCTTTAGAACGAAGGAACAACCTAAAACAAAAGACTTAAGCATGTTTTTATTACCCCATCCACAATTTTCTGACACATTAAAAATACTTACCTAGTTTTCCTAATTTTGACATCCCTAAATGAGCAGGACTACGTTCCCTACACACACTAAAGACCTTTAAACACATTTAGGCAGAAAGTGAATGTCATCTCTGAATATTTTTAAAACCAGAGGGAAAAAAGGGTAGTAAGTAGGAAAAAAGACGGAGCACAGAAGGAGAAAAGAGAAAAAAAGCACGAATTACAGCACAGGATCTTCACCCTCTGCCTTCCTACTGCACATTTCCACTTTAAAGAAAATGAACATGAATATACACACAGCCACTGGTGGACACATTTTTTAATCTTCTTTATTAGTTAAGGGCGAAAAAGTCATTTTTTAAGATTTTTTTTTTTTGGATACTCAGTGAAGAAAATCTTCCTTGTCTTCTTCTCTAAAATCAGGGACAGATTACAAGAATGCAATTTCCATGAAATCTGATCACCGTATTCCTCCAACTACACTCAGATCTCGTCTTACATACCATTATGCCACTTCTTAGCAGGAAATTTCAAATTTTCAAAAAATTAAGAAGGTATTCTCCTCCCCAAAGGAAAAATTCCTGATCTTCTTGATATCAGCCATATGAATGGTTTCTAATGCATATTCCCACATTCCCACTACCCTATATTAGCATGTAACAACAGAACCAGTTTTAATTACATCAGATAGTTACAGTAGCTCACAAACAAAGCAGCGGAACGACAAAATGCAGCTCCACTAGCACTTGCATCAACATATTCGTCATGGTTAGCCTCTTGAAGATGGCGTTCTGTGATAGCCATCGAAAGAAGTCGAGGGTCATTTAAATTGAGCTGAGTGCCAGCCACTGTCCAGCCACCACTGAAAGAAAATTTCACATGGATGAGGCCATTAGTGACATAGAACACAAGATTTTCAGCTAATCGCATCAAAAGGGTATGCTAACATGTTTGGAATGCTCTAGGTCTGGGACCACAAGAGTACTGCAAGGCTGCAAGTGGAGAAGCATCAATAACCAATAACACCATAGAAGAAAGAAGGAAAAATATACCCACTATGGTCCACTAAATCAGTGGAAGAAGCAAAGGCTTAAAGGTAGTGTTAACAACAAAAACTGGTACAAAAAAAAAGGGATTCTCCAGATTAACCAAACTATGCACTAATAGTGTATTTTGAAGAAAACTGAAAGATAAAAAAGCTCAACATGTCATAAAACCCTTACAACAACAACAACATATCCAGTGAAATCCCACAAGTGAGGTATGGGGAGGGTAGAATGTACACAGACCTTACCACTACCTCGAGGAGGTAGAGAGGCTATTTCTGAAAGATCCTTAGGTCAAGTGCAACAAATTCAGGTACAAATAAGGAGGCAGTGAAGAGAATATGGCGAGTAACAAGGTAACAGTGCAAAGCCTACCCAAAAGGAGCAGAAAACAACAATAAAATAATGTGATAATCGAAACACAGTAAACAACATACTAGAATAGATTATTGAAAACAATAATGAACTTAAAAAGCTGCTCTCCTTGGTTAACAAAAATAAAACTAGTTCATGTTAGTGAAGATCTTTCTTTCCCTATAAAAAGGTCTGAATATGCCTGAGTCCCACTTTCATTTTCAATACAATGAAAATCAATGCACTAATAAAAATGAAGGGAAATTCGTTTACTTAGTAATATTGCCGATCAGCTTCATAAACTGATGGAAATTCAAAAACGAATAACATGGATGGACTTTAGTTAGTGAAGAGTTTCTGTTCACCACTGTAATATGATTAAAAATGTTATACAATCAACCAGAAGCTTAGAATATCATATTATCGAATAAAGGGAAAGGTCTCAATACAAAAAGCTGAAAGCTTATATTCCCAAGGTTTTATACACACCTACATCTGTATCTCAGAGTACAACAACTACTATGCCTCATTTCCAAAAAAAATTTGGGTAGGCTATATGAATCATCACTACCTTGTTTATCAATTTAAACTCATCTCAGGACAACATTATTAAAAATAAAATAAAAAGGTACTAGAAGTTCTCTGTATTTTCTAGTGGCATGTACGTCTCTAAAGAGCTTAAAAAAACTCCTAAATACCTATATTGAAATGTAAATACCAAAAATCTCACTCAGAGAAACACTCTATAAGGATTAAAAAGGAATGATTGGAACAATGATTCAAAATTTTGACATACCAAGTCAGGAAATAACTATGACCTGATAGTACCTGATGTCAATGACAGTTTCTTCAGAGGGAGGAGGCAGTGGTGGAGCAGTATATCCAGGTGGTAGGGCTGCAGGTTAGAGAGAATTATCTAAGTGAACATATCACTTGGCACAAATTACTAAGTGTGACAGTACAAGAAAGTCTTTTAGGGAGTGGCCCCTGACATCCATATTTGTAATTGAAGTACCCAAATTTCTGAATGGTTAAAAAATGAAAAAGCAAGGCACAATTCATGTGCTGCATAGGCTGGGAAGCCTCCCAAACCGGCAATGAAAGTGCATTGGAAAAGGGACACACAGGCACATGTCAAATAATTTTGAAGCCTATTATTCTATCTAACAATCCTTCAACTCACTCAGTCACCCTATGTCCAAAATTCTTTTGGTATGGGAGAAATCCTCTTACTCGAAATTCAAAATGCCATCAGGTGACTAATAAGGATACGACGGATTACTTGATGACAGATCTCGCAAATTATATCTCCCTTCTCATTGCACCATATCTGAACACATTTCCTATGAGCATACTGGATATGTGGAAAATTGCAGGCAGTATACACGAGAAAGAAAAGAAACAGTCAGTCGTTCGGTGAAAGCCCATAAGTACACAAATGGCAGATAAAACATGTTCATCTATAATTCTTAGAACTTTGAAATAAGGCTAATTCAAGGGAAGTAAAACCAATTAATCAATAAATACACCTTGACCCCACATCATACGAGGTCAACTATGTGAGCATCCTCCATATTATTAATTATAAATTAATGAATTAGTATACAAAATCATTTTGCAACTTGACAAAGCAAAGCATTCTTCGGCTTTAGTAGGTCATTTGAGTAAATAAGCCTTCTATCTTATGCTTAGCACACAAACACCCAACTATATCTAAACAGGACCGTTATCTCCCATGGGGCTTCAAAACAGTTGACAAACAGGAACATGAACATGGCAACCTGCACAAAAGCAATGGCGTTGAATGTGTTTTGGTGTAGAAATGTTAGTAAGAGGGTGTTTGGATGGACTTATTTTAGGTAGATTTTGGCTTTTAAGCTCTTTTTTATTTTTGGAGATGTTTGGGAAACACAAAAAATACTTATAAGCAATTTTTTCATGCTAAGAAAGTACAAAAAGAAGCTAAAACCCAAAAGTTGGGTACAACCAACTTATGGCTTTCAGCTTTTAGCTTATAAGCTACTTAAAAAAAGCCAATCCAAACACCCCCTAAATATGTTCTTCGCACTGCGAGACCTATACAGAAGCCGCTTGCTAACTCCTAAACAAGTGGTCACTTTATTTCAGAATAACTAACAGGTCTTAGAGTGAGGTAACAAAGTATCAATTGCAACAATGATCAAACCTAACTAATATTTGCTTGATGTTATTGAATCAAACCAAAGAACAAGAATGAATGCAAACAAAAGAGATTAAAAAGAAAAAGAAAAGCAACTAGCTCAAGGATAACAATGTTCTTCAATAACCAAGTAAAAGAACCTAGGTGGACAACAACGAAAAGGAGCTTAGTGTCCATAGCAGGAATACAAAAGTAGAGCGGGGATATTTATGCCTATTACCAAAAGGGAGCAACATAAAGTGGTCGAGGAAGTATATACTATAGCAATCGTGCTTAAAGTATAAATGAAAGGAGTGGAGCAAAGTGTCGCTTCCAGGGTACAAAATATGTAAGCAGATTACCCTTACCAACAAATAAATACAACTAGAGATACTGATGAAAAACAAGGGACCTACTTCCCATCCTAGGGGTTAGCAGGTAAGAAAGAGAAGACTTAGCTGGGTGGAAAGCACATATTATAAGCTTTTGTTAATGTCAATACCTGACAACCTCGAGTTCTTTAAAAAAATATTATTGAGATACTAGACAAAAGTAGGATCAACATGATTGACATTTACATGCACAAGCACCACTGATATCAATATTCAGTGGCTAATTCAACAATAAGAACAAAAAGTACTCAACTTTACAATGATACCTTCAAGCTACCACTACAACTACAAGGAATCTTCAAATTTTCAATTCGGCATTCCACAGTTTGAACTAATGGCTCTTCTTCAAATCCAGCTTCTGGTTCTTCTTCTTCCTCACCAGAGATTGACGGAACAACTCTGTGAGAGTAAGAACTCCCCCCTGAGGATCCTGCATCCTCAGCACCTTGCATCAAATGTGAAGATTCAGGTGTGATGAGACCATCAGCACATAGAACCGAGTGTCCTCCCATTAGAAGTTCACTGATGTATCCTAAAATCACCAAAAACCATCTCACACACATAACAAAAGGAAAAATAGAATGAAAAACGCACCAGTCACAACATATTACGACAAACGTCAAATTCAAGGCTAGTAGGCCTATTGAAAAGCTAATATATTTGGGAGAATTTACGGTTGGGTAATCTATTTTACCTTTGTATGGTATTGCATGCTGCTGCCGTCCCCTTTGTCTGGAAATATTTCGATTACATTAAAGACCTCTCAGGTACTTTTTCTTTTTATTAATGACACTATAATGCCACAATTGTAGGCAAAAATGTTCTAGTTTGATTTCCCGAAACAGAAATGTCATATCTAAACAACAACAAAAGAATAAATGATAATCAAGAGTTGCAGGTTTTACTAATAAGGTCACCTAACTCTTGAAAATTAATTTTTAGGATAGGTAACATAACCAACTAATATCCAAGAGTTCACACTGAGTCATTATGATGAACAGAACATATAGGCTACAGGCTAAAGCATTAGCGGCTAGTTTTAAACTTTATACCACAAAGACTGATTTCCTACCTTCTCCATATTTGTCTTTCTATATATTTTAGTCAATTTTAACAACAGAAAAAGAAAAAAAACATTTTCTACCATCAATCTCCCTAGTCCGATGAAACAGAAGCAATAATTCAGAAATCCCAACAAATTGATCACCCAAAAAGATAATCTTGAACGAAGAACAAAAACAAAAAATGAGAGAACAAATGATGTCGATCGGTGAGGTACCTGAATATGGTGTTGTTAATGGGTTTTGCTTTCTGAAGCCTAGTCGAGAAGCGATTCAATTTGTACAACCGTTCCGCAAACAAGACTGAAGAGAAGTTGTAACAATTATTTTGCCAGATAAATTGGATTACAAAGAACTATTATGAACAAGATTCCCTTCGATTAAGTTAATTGAGGTCTATAGATAACCGACCCCCAAAATGCTTCTCTCTACCCAAAGTATATAACTAGTATAGTAACTACTCCCTCTGTCCTATTTAGTTGTCCACTTTAGAAATGACACATATTAAGGCAACAATGATTAGCATAGTGAAGTTATAATTTTGCCCTTATTAATTATGATTCCAAAATAAATTTATTCAAGATAACTAATCAATGTTGGGGGAAGTTTAAATTTTCAAGAAGTTTAAATTAGGGTATAATAGGAATTTTTTTTTGTCCTTTCTTGATTTGTCAAAATGGACAACTAAATAGGGACAAATGAGAGAACAAATGATGTCGATCGGTGAGGTACCTGAATATGGTGTTGTTAATGGGTTTTGCTTTCTGAAGCCTAGTCGAGAAGCGATTCAATTTGTACAACCGTTCCGCAAACAAGACTGAAGAGAAGTTGTAACAATTATTTTGCCAGATAAATTGGATTACAAAGAACTATTATGAACAAGATTCCCTTCGATTAAGTTAATTGAGGTCTATAGATAACCGACCCCCAAAATGCTTCTCTCTACCCAAAGTATATAACTAGTATAGTAACTACTCCCTCTGTCCTATTTAGTTGTCCACTTTAGAAATGACACATATTAAGGCAACAATGATTAGCATAGTGAAGTTATAATTTTGCCCTTATTAATTATGATTCCAAAATAAATTTATTCAAGATAACTAATCAATGTTGGGGGAAGTTTAAATTTTCAAGAAGTTTAAATTAGGGTATAATAGGAATTTTTTTTTGTCCTTTCTTGATTTGTCAAAATGGACAAGTAAATAGGGACATCTAAAAGAGGAAATATGGACAAGTAAATAGGGACGAAGGGAGTACTAACTAGAGTAGTGAGATGGTGACGTGAGATTAATTAAAAACTTTGGCCTGTATATTATAAAAAAGGGAAAATGGCGTTTTTAATCCCTGTGTTATTGCCTAATTTCACTTTTAATCCCAGTGATATTTGACTGTGCACATTTAACCTTGAATTAACTTGACTGAGCGATTTTGTTCTAATTACTAAGAAATGTTAACTTTGTTAACAAATCACTTATTAACGGAAAGGGTAATTCTGGTACTATTAAGTATTAGCTATCCTACTTTATTTAGTGTATAATAAAATAATTCTTTTATCATTTAAATTTACTCTAGATTCATGTGCTAGCATACTGTCAGAATTACCATGGCATACATTGCATTTACTTTTACTTTCGCCTTTATTTTTAATTCTTTACCTCTTTCTCTCTCTTAGAATCACATGAAAATACATAAGTGTGTCATCTCTCCTATCTTATCTCTTTCTCTCTCTTAAAAATCAAATGTAGAGCTCCCTAAAAATTGATTTAATACTAAAGGAAAATATACGATGGAGCTCATATTGAAGTGATTTTTGTTTCAATTGAATCAATTTTTGAGATTTCTTTTCAGTTCTTCTTCAACTCGAGATATGAGCTAAATCTTTTCGATTTCGCCTTACCAATTCGGCCAAGCGATTTTGATTCTTCAACTCCACATTTTCACTGATATTTGCTTAAGCTTTCAAATTCAGGTAATATACTTACATACTTGAAGATTTTATTCTCTTCTAAAGTATAAATGGTGTGTGCATGACAACTCTAGTCTGATGAGTATGGGTGTGATGAATTACTTTTTGGGAAATCACTTTTTCTTTTTCCTAAATCTATTTGTATCTCTTTTAAAATTGCAGTAACCCCTTTTGAAGGTGCTGGAAATGAAAGGTCTGAGCCTGCAGGTCCAATAATTATTTTACCTCTCGGATTTCGACGGGATTCTTGTCGTTTGCGAAGGTATTTTTCACTTTGTAGTATTGTAGATTGATTAATAGTGAAACTAATAGAGTAATAGCTATCAACATTTTGAAGGTGCCTAAATCTATTTGTATCCCTATTAAAATTGTAGTAACCCCTTTTGAAGGTGCAGGAAATGAAAGGTCTGAGCCTGCAGGTCCAATAATTTCTTTACCTCTCGGATTTCGATGGGATCCTTGTTGTTTGCGAATGTATCTTTCACTTTGTAGTATTGCAGATTGATTAATAGTAAAACTAATAGTTATCAACATTCAAATGTCCTGTCTCACTAAAAATCAGTAAAATGTGGTTAATTGTAAAGTTTGCACTGTTTTTGTAGTGCTCGAGTGAAATTATTTATCTTGATTGTGAAGAGACAATATGCATTACAAAAGTGTTGGTATTATGTATTTTACTTGTAAAGTGTGATAGTGAAAAAACTGATTCTAGATATTAACTTATTGGATTGTTTGATGTAAGATTGTACTATAAGTTTTGCATTATCTTGAATGGTGTGTAGATGCGGGAAAATAAATTAGGAGATAGAAGGGTCGAGTTTTAGGCTGTGAATCTTCCTCCGGTGCTCTTTCAATACATTTTTTTGGATATGTAGAAACATAACAATCTTTTTATTGTTAAAAGAGTGAATTGATGCATGTGATCTTACTATAGTCATCTGCAAAAAGTTCAAATCAAGAATAAAATCAAACTGTTTAAGTTGCATCTAGTTTTAAGAGGAAACAAAAACATGTCACCAAAGCAAAAACAACTTCAAAGTCAATAGGAAAGAGAACAATCTAAACTCATGCACCCATTGTCATGAGAGATTTTTTGGCTTGTATTTAAGGAACATTTTTCTTCTTAACATATGCTCTATTTCCGACTCTTTTGCTAGTTTGAGAAAGCACCTCCTGTAAGCTTGACAATGGGACATATTGTTTTCCCATTCTCTGGATGAAATGTGGCCTTGTACCTTCTCTAGAATGCTCATTAATTTCTTCTAAAATGAATGCAGAACTCCTCAGTGAGATTTGAGGTTGTGCCCTTGGCTGGTTAAGTTGACTGGCCTACAATACATAATAAAATAAACTAAGTTAGTAAAGTTCAATACAAGCAACATAAATAGACAATACAAATGCTAATTACGATTTGTTTAGTCACAAATGAGGAGTTGGACTGTACTGATGCCATGCTCTTAGTAAGAGTGCTTGAAACCTACATTGAAATAACATTTTTAGTATTGCTACTCTTAATAAATATTAAAGGGACTCAACTTATTTTGAAAACTTACTTTTGTTTCATTATTAAGTGTAGATGAACCTTTTTTGCTGACTTCCTGGTGAACTTGTTGTTGTTGAACCTCAAATTGATTGGTTCTTATAAGAATAGGACATTTTCTACTATTATGTCCTGTTTTTCCACACAATCCGCATTTCTTTTTTTTGCCCTTTCTTGACGCTTTTAAAAGGGTACTATTTCCAGGATCTGATTCTTTTTGAGTTGTCTCATCATTTCCTTTCTTTCTTAGTTTTGTTGGTCTACCTAGCTGAGCTTTATATATAGGTGGCAGTGGTGGTTCTACCCCAGTCTTAGACCATTGCTCAGAGCTATTAATTGGCAAAATAGATGGATAATAACTCTTCATATACTGCTCAACCGTGTAACATTCATGAACATACTTTTCAGGTTCATCCTTCTTAACCCATATAGCTGCAATAGCATGATTACAAGGTATCCATGTTAAGTTTCATCTCTTACAAGAACATGTCCTCTCCTTAAGATCAACAAAGAATAATCTTAGATGAATGTCCTCAATTTGGTAATGAAATTCATCAGATTTAATGGCAATACACTCAGCAGCCTTATCCTTATTTTTCTCTAGCTTCAATAAGATTTGTGGGCAGATTATGTGGCTATGGTTACTCATTTTATCTCTATTCTTCTGAAGTCTTGACATCATATAGATCCTTATTGATTCAAGCATCGTCAAAATATGTTGATCTCTTGCTGGTAGAAGTACGCTATTAAATGACTCACACATATTATTCAATAACATGTCACACTTTGTGAATAAAGAGAAAAAAAACTCTTGACCAATGAATGGGAGGCTTATTCATGAACCATGCTTAGGGGCATCTTTATCTATTTTTGACATTTCTTCCATATGCTTGGAAAATTCAGGTTCTGTAGTTGCCCTGGAATCTTTCCATAGGACTTCTTTCA